CAACCAGACATGCAACCAGACATGGGCAACGAGTGAACAACGTGTAGTACACGAACTGGAGCTGTCATTTCGGCACAGCTGATGATTCCGACTCATCAAGAGGTGTTATTGCATGACCTAAGCACCGCATCAAGAGCCAGCAGCAGTTGCGCTTCCCATCTTCGTGCGGTGTTGGATGCAAGCACAGACATGCAACCAGACATGCAACCAGACATGGGCAACGAGTGAACAACGTGTAGTACACGAACTGGAGCTGTCATTTCGGCACAGATGATGATTCCGACTCATTTGAATGGTGTTATTGCATGACCTAAGCACCGCATCAAGACCCAGCAGCAGTTGCGCTTCCCATCTTCGTGCGGTGTTGGATGCAAGCACAGACATGCAACCAGACATGGGCAACGAGTGAACAACGTGTAGTACACGAACTGGAGCTGTCATTTCGGCACAGCCGATGATTCCGACTCATCAAGAGGTGTTATTGCATGACCTAAGCACCGCATCAAGACCCAGCAGCAGTTGCGCTTCCCATCTTCGTGCGGTGTTGGATGCAAGCACAGACATGCAACCAGACATGCAACCAGACATGGGCAACGAGTGAACAACGTGTAGTACACGAACTGGAGCTGTCATTTCGGCACAGCTGATGATTCCGACTCAATTGAATGGTGTTATTGCATGACCTAAGCACCGCATCAAGACCCAGCAGCAGTTGCGCTTCCCATCTTCGTGCGGTGTTGGATGCAAGCACAGACATGCAACCAGACATGCAACCAGACATGGGCAACGAGTGAACAACGTGTAGTACACGACTTGGAGCTGTCATTTCGGCACAGCTGATGGTTCCGACTCATCAAGAGGTGTTATTGCATGACCTAAGCACCGCATCAAGACCCAGCAACAGTTGCGCTTCCCATCTTCGTGCGGTGTTGGATGCAAGCACAGACATGCAACCAGACATGCAACCAGACATGGGCAACGAGTGAACAACGTGTAGTACACGAACTGGAGCTGTCATTTCGGCACAGCTGATGATTCCGACTCATCAAGAGGTGTTATTGCATGACCTAAGCACCGCATCAAGAGCCAGCAGCAGTTGCGCTTCCCATCTTCGTGCGGTGTTGGATGCAAGCACAGACATGCAACCAGACATGCAACCAGACATGGGCAACGAGTGAACAACGTGTAGTACACGAACTGGAGCTGTCATTTCGGCACAGATGATGATTCCGACTCAATTGAATGGTGTTATTGCATGACCTAAGCACCGCATCAAGACCCAGCAGCAGTTGCGCTTCCCATCTTCGTGCGGTGTTGGATGCAAGCACAGACATGCAACCAGACATGCAACCAGACATGGGCAACGAGTGAACAACGTGTAGTACACGAACTGGAGCTGTCATTTCGGCACAGCTGATGATTCCGACTCATTTGAATGGTGTTATTGCATGACCTAAGCACCGCATCAAGACCCAGCAGCAGTTGCGCTTCCCATCTTCGTGCGGTGTTGGATGCAAGCACAGACATGCAACCAGACATGCAACCAGACATGGGCAACGAGTGAACAACGTGTAGTACACGAACTGGAGCTGTCATTTCGGCACAGATGATGATTCCGACTCATCAAGAGGTGTTATTGCATGACCTAAGCACCGCATCAAGACCCAGCAGCAGTTGCGCTTCCCATCTTCGTGCGGTGTTGGATGCAAGCACAGACATGCAACCAGACATGCAACCAGACATGGGCAACGAGTGAACAACGTGTAGTACACGACTTGGAGCTGTCATTTCGGCGCAGCTGATGATTCTGACTCATTTGTGAGGTGTTATTGCATGACCTAAGCACCGCATCAAGACCCAGCAGCAGTTGCGCTTCCCATCTTCGTGCGGTGTTGGATGCAAGCACAGACATGCAACCAGACATGGGCAACGAGTGAACAACGTGTAGTACACGAACTGGAGCTGTCATTTCGGCACAGATGATGATTCCGACTCAATTGAATGGTGTTATTGCATGACCTAAGCACCGCATCAAGACCCAGCAGCAGTTGCGCTTCCCATCTTCGTGCGGTGTTGGATGCAAGCACAGACATGCAACCAGACATGGGCAACGAGTGAACAACGTGTAGTACACGAACTGGAGCTGTCATTTCGGCACAGCTGATGATTCCGACTCATTTGAATGGTGTTATTGCATGACCTAAGCACCGCATCAAGACCCAGCAGCAGTTGCGCTTCCCATCTTCGTGCGGTGTTGGATGCAAGCACAGACATGCAACCAGACATGGGCAACGAGTGAACAACGTGTAGTACACGAACTGGAGCTGTCATTTCGGCACAGATGATGATTCCGACTCAATTGAATGGTGTTATTGCATGACCTAAGCACCGCATCAAGACCCAGCAGCAGTTGCGCTTCCCATCTTCGTGCGGTGTTGGATGCAAGCACAGACATGCAACCAGACATGCACCAGACATGGGCAACGAGTGAACAACGTGTAGTACACGAACTGGAGCTGTCATTTCGGCACAGCCGATGATTCCGACTCAATTGAATGGTGTTATTGCATGACCTAAGCACCGCATCAAGACCCAGCAGCAGTTGCGCTTCCCATCTTCGTGCGGTGTTGGATGCAAGCACAGACATGCAACCAGACATGCACCATGGGCAACGAGTGAACAACGTGTAGTACACGAACTGGAGCTGTCATTTCGGCACAGATGATGATTCCGACTCATTTGAATGGTGTTATTGCATGACCTAAGCACCGCATCAAGACCCAGCAGCAGTTGCGCTTCCCATCTTCGTGCGGTGTTGGATGCAAGCACAGACATGCAACCAGACATGCAACCAGACATGGGCAACGAGTGAACAACGTGTAGTACACGAACTGGAGCTGTCATTTCGGCACAGATGATGATTCCGACTCATTTGAATGGTGTTATTGCATGACCTAAGCACCGCATCAAGACCCAGCAGCAGTTGCGCTTCCCATCTTCGTGCGGTGTTGGATGCAAGCACAGACATGCAACCAGACATGCAACCAGACATGGGCAACGAGTGAACAACGTGTAGTACACGAACTGGAGCTGTCATTTCGGCACAGCTGATGATTCCGACTCATTTGAATGGTGTTATTGCATGACCTAAGCACCGCATCAAGACCCAGCAGCAGTTGCGCTTCCCATCTTCGTGCGGTGTTGGATGCAAGCACAGACATGCAACCAGACATGCAACCAGACATGGGCAACGAGTGAACAACGTGTAGTACACGAACTGGAGCTGTCATTTCGGCACAGCTGATGATTCCGACTCAATTGAATGGTGTTATTGCATGACCTAAGCACCGCATCAAGACCCAGCAGCAGTTGCGCTTCCCATCTTCGTGCGGTGTTGGATGCAAGCACAGACATGCAACCAGACATGGGCAACGAGTGAACAACGTGTAGTACACGAACTGGAGCTGTCATTTCGGCGCAGCTGATGATTCCGACTCATTTGAATGGTGTTATTGCATGACCTAAGCACCGCATCAAGACCCAGCAGCAGTTGCGCTTCCCATCTTCGTGCGGTGTTGGATGCAAGCATAGACATGCAACCAGACATGGGCAACGAGTGAACAACGTGTAGTACACGAACTGGAGCTGTCATTTCGGCACAGATGATGATTCCGACTCATTTGAATGGTGTTATTGCATGACCTAAGCACCGCATCAAGACCCAGCAGCAGTTGCGCTTCCCATCTTCGTGCGGTGTTGGATGCAAGCACAGACATGCAACCAGACATGGGCAACGAGTGAACAACGTGTAGTACACGAACTGGAGCTGTCATTTCGGCACAGCTGATGATTCCGACTCAATTGAATGGTGTTATTGCATGACCTAAGCACCGCATCAAGACCCAGCAGCAGTTGCGCTTCCCATCTTCGTGCGGTGTTGGATGCAAGCACAGACATGCAACCAGACATGCAACCAGACATGGGCAACGAGTGAACAACGTGTAGTACACGACTTGGAGCTGTCATTTCGGCACAGCCGATGATTCCGACTCAATTGAATGGTGTTATTGCATGACCTAAGCACCGCATCAAGACCCAGCAGCAGTTGCGCTTCCCATCTTCGTGCGGTGTTGGATGCAAGCACAGACATGCAACCAGACATGGGCAACGAGTGAACAACGTGTAGTACACGAACTGGAGCTGTCATTTCGGCACAGATGATGATTCCGACTCATTTGAATGGTGTTATTGCATGACCTAAGCACCGCATCAAGACCCAGCAGCAGTTGCGCTTCCCATCTTCGTGCGGTGTTGGATGCAAGCACAGACATGCAACCAGACATGCAACCAGACATGGGCAACGAGTGAACAACGTGTAGTACACGAACTGGAGCTGTCATTTCGGCACAGCTGATGATTCCGACTCAATTGAATGGTGTTATTGCATGACCTAAGCACCGCATCAAGACCCAGCAGCAGTTGCGCTTCCCATCTTCGTGCGGTGTTGGATGCAAGCACAGACATGCAACCAGACATGCAACCAGACATGGGCAACGAGTGAACAACGTGTAGTACACGAACTGGAGCTGTCATTTCGGCACAGCTGATGATTCCGACTCAATTGAATGGTGTTATTGCATGACCTAAGCACCGCATCAAGACCCAGCAGCAGTTGCGCTTCCCATCTTCGTGCGGTGTTGGATGCAAGCACAGACATGCAACCAGACATGCAACCAGACATGGGCAACGAGTGAACAACGTGTAGTACACGAACTGGAGCTGTCATTTCGGCACAGCTGATGATTCCGACTCAATTGAATGGTGTTATTGCATGACCTAAGCACCGCATCAAGAGCCAGCAGCAGTTGCGCTTCCCATCTTCGTGCGGTGTTGGATGCAAGCACAGACATGCAACCAGACATGCAACCAGACATGGGCAACGAGTGAACAACGTGTAGTACACGAACTGGAGCTGTCATTTCGGCACAGCTGATGATTCCGACTCAATTGAATGGTGTTATTGCATGACCTAAGCACCGCATCAAGACCCAGCAACAGTTGCGCTTCCCATCTTCGTGCGGTGTTGGATGCAAGCACAGACATGCAACAGACATGCAACCAGACATGGGCAACGAGTGAACAACGTGTAGTACACGAACTGGAGCTGTCATTTCGGCACAGCTGATGATTCCGACTCAATTGAATGGTGTTATTGCATGACCTAAGCACCGCATCAAGACCCAGCAGCAGTTGCGCTTCCCATCTTCGTGCGGTGTTGGATGCAAGCACAGACATGCAACCAGACATGCAACCAGACATGGGCAACGAGTGAACAACGTGTAGTACACGAACTGGAGCTGTCATTTCGGCACAGCTGATGATTCCGACTCAATTGAATGGTGTTATTGCATGACCTAAGCACCGCATCAAGACCCAGCAGCAGTTGCGCTTCCCATCTTCGTGCGGTGTTGGATGCAAGCAAGACATGCAACCAGACATGCAACCAGACATGGGCAACGAGTGAACAACGTGTAGTACACGAACTGGAGCTGTCATTTCGGCACAGCTGATGATTCCGACTCAATTGAATGGTGTTATTGCATGACCTAAGCACCGCATCAAGACCCAGCAGCAGTTGCGCTTCCCATCTTCGTGCGGTGTTGGATGCAAGCACAGACATGCAACCAGACATGCAACCAGACATGGGCAACGAGTGAACAACGTGTAGTACACGAACTGGAGCTGTCATTTCGGCGCAGCTGATGATTCCGACTCAATTGAATGGTGTTATTGCATGACCTAAGCACCGCATCAAGACCCAGCAGCAGTTGCGCTTCCCATCTTCGTGCGGTGTTGGATGCAAGCACAGACATGCAACCAGACATGCAACCAGACATGGGCAACGAGTGAACAACGTGTAGTACACGAACTGGAGCTGTCATTTCGGCACAGCTGATGATTCCGACTCAATTGAATGGTGTTATTGCATGACCTAAGCACCGCATCAAGACCCAGCAGCAGTTGCGCTTCCCATCTTCGTGCGGTGTTGGATGCAAGCACAGACATGCAACCAGACATGCAACCAGACATGGGCAACGAGTGAACAACGTGTAGTACACGAACTGGAGCTGTCATTTCGGCACAGCCGATGGTTCCGACTCAATTGAATGGTGTTATTGCATGACCTAAGCACCGCATCAAGACCCAGCAGCAGTTGCGCTTCCCATCTTCGTGCGGTGTTGGATGCAAGCACAGACATGCAACCAGACATGCAACCAGACATGGGCAACGAGTGAACAACGTGTAGTACACGAACTGGAGCTGTCATTTCGGCACAGCTGATGATTCTGACTCAATTGAATGGTGTTATTGCATGACCTAAGCACCGCATCAAGACCCAGCAGCAGTTGCGCTTCCCATCTTCGTGCGGTGTTGGATGCAAGCACAGACATGCAACCAGACATGCAACCAGACATGGGCAACGAGTGAACAACGTGTAGTACACGAACTGGAGCTGTCATTTCGGCACAGCTGATGATTCCGACTCAATTGAATGGTGTTATTGCATGACCTAAGCACCGCATCAAGACCCAGCAGCAGTTGCGCTTCCCATCTTCGTGCGGTGTTGGATGCAAGCACAGACATGCAACCAGACATGCAACCAGACATGGGCAACGAGTGAACAACGTGTAGTACACGAACTGGAGCTGTCATTTCGGCACAGCTGATGATTCCGACTCAATTGAATGGTGTTATTGCATGACCTAAGCACCGCATCAAGACCCAGCAGCAGTTGCGCTTCCCATCTTCGTGCGGTGTTGGATGCAAGCACAGACATGCAACCAGACATGCAACCAGACATGGGCAACGAGTGAACAACGTGTAGTACACGAACTGGAGCTGTCATTTCGGCACAGCTGATGATTCCGACTCAATTGAATGGTGTTATTGCATGACCTAAGCACCGCATCAAGACCCAGCAGCAGTTGCGCTTCCCATCTTCGTGCGGTGTTGGATGCAAGCACAGACATGCAACCAGACATGCAACCAGACATGGGCAACGAGTGAACAACGTGTAGTACACGAACTGGAGCTGTCATTTCGGCACAGCTGATGATTCCGACTCAATTGAATGGTGTTATTGCATGACCTAAGCACCGCATCAAGACCCAGCAGCAGTTGCGCTTCCCATCTTCGTGCGGTGTTGGATGCAAGCACAGACATGCAACCAGACATGCAACCAGACATGGGCAACGAGTGAACAACGTGTAGTACACGAACTGGAGCTGTCATTTCGGCACAGCTGATGATTCCGACTCAATTGAATGGTGTTATTGCATGACCTAAGCACCGCATCAAGACCCAGCAGCAGTTGCGCTTCCCATCTTCGTGCGGTGTTGGATGCAAGCACAGACATGCAACCAGACATGCAACCAGACATGGGCAACGAGTGAACAACGTGTAGTACACGAACTGGAGCTGTCATTTCGGCGCAGCTGATGATTCCGACTCAATTGAATGGTGTTATTGCATGACCTAAGCACCGCATCAAGACCCAGCAGCAGTTGCGCTTCCCATCTTCGTGCGGTGTTGGATGCAAGCACAGACATGCAACCAGACATGCAACCAGACATGGGCAACGAGTGAACAACGTGTAGTACACGAACTGGAGCTGTCATTTCGGCACAGCTGATGATTCCGACTCAATTGAATGGTGTTATTGCATGACCTAAGCACCGCATCAAGACCCAGCAGCAGTTGCGCTTCCCATCTTCGTGCGGTGTTGGATGCAAGCACAGACATGCAACCAGACATGCAACCAGACATGGGCAACGAGTGAACAACGTGTAGTACACGAACTGGAGCTGTCATTTCGGCACAGCTGATGATTCCGACTCAATTGAATGGTGTTATTGCATGACCTAAGCACCGCATCAAGACCCAGCAGCAGTTGCGCTTCCCATCTTCGTGCGGTGTTGGATGCAAGCACAGACATGCAACCAGACATGCAACCAGACATGGGCAACGAGTGAACAACGTGTAGTACACGAAGTAGAGCTGTCATTTCGGCACAGCTGATGATTCCGACTCAATTGAATGGTGTTATTGCATGACCTAAGCACCGCATCAAGACCCAGCAGCAGTTGCGCTTCCCATCTTCGTGCGGTGTTGGATGCAAGCACAGAAATGCAACCAGACATGCAACCAGACATGGGCAACGAGTGAACAACGTGTAGTACACGAACTGGAGCTATCATTTCGGCACAGCTGATGATTCCGACTCATTGAATGGTGTTATTTGCATGACCTAAGCACCGCATCAAGACCCAGCAGCAGTTGCGCTTCCCATCTTCGTGCGGTGTTGGATGCAAGCACAGACATGCAACCAGACATGCAACCAGACATGGGCAACGAGTGAACAACGTGTAGTACACGAACTGGAGCTGTCATTTCGGCACAGCTGATGATTCCGACTCAATCGAATGGTGTTATTGCATGACCTAAGCACCGCATCAAGACCCAGCAGCAGTTGCGCTTCCCATCTTCGTGCGGTGTTGGATGCAAGCACAGACATGCAACCAGACATGCAACCAGACATGGGCAACGAGTGAACAACGTGTAGTACACGAACTGGAGCTGTCATTTCGGCACAGGCTGATGGTTCCGACTCATTGAATGGTGTTATTGCATGACCTAAGCACCGCATCAAGACCCAGCAGCAGTTGCGCTTCCCATCTTCGTGCGGTGTTGGATGCAAGCACAGACATGCAACCAGACATGCAACCAGACATGGGCAACGAGTGAACAACGTGTAGTACACGAACTGGAGCTGTCATTTCGGCACAGCTGATGATTCCGACTCAATTGAATGGTGTTATTGCATGACCTAAGCACCGCATCAAGACCCAGCAACAGTTGCGCTTCCCATCTTCGTGCGGTGTTGGATGCAAGCACAGACATGCAACCAGACATGCAACCAGACATGGGCAACGAGTGAACAACGTGTAGTACACGAACTGGAGCTGTCATTTCGGCACAGCTGATGGTTCCGACTCATCAAGAGGTGTTATTGCATGACCTAAGCACCGCATCAAGACCCAGCAGCAGTTGCGCTTCCCATCTTCGTGCGGTGTTGGATGCAAGCACAGACATGCAACCAGACATGCAACCAGACATGGGCAACGAGTGAACAACGTGTAGTACACGAACTGGAGCTGTCATTTCGGCGCAGCTGATGATTGACTCAATTCAAGTGGTGTTATTGCATGACCTAAGCACCCGCATCAAGACCCAGCAGCAGTTGCGCTTCCCATCTTCGTGCGGTGTTGGATGCAAGCACAGACATGCAACCAGACATGCAACCAGACATGGGCAACGAGTGAACAACGTGTAGGACACGAACTGGAGCTATCATTTCGGCACAGCTGATAATTCCGACTCAATTGAATGGTGTTATTGCATGACCTAAGCACCGCATCAAGACCCAGCAGCAGTTGCGCTTCCCATCTTCGTGCGGTGTTGGATGCAAGCACAGACATGCAACCAGACATGCAACCAGACATGGGCAACGAGTGAACAACGTGTAGTACACGAACTGGAGCTGTCATTTCGGCGCAGCTGATGATTCCGACTCAATTGAATGGTGTTTTGCATGACCTAAGCCACCCCGCATCAAGACCCAGCAGCAGTTGCGCTTCCCATCTTCGTGCGGTGTTGGATGCAAGCACAGACATGCAACCAGACATGCAACCAGACATGGGCAACGAGTGAACAACGTGTAGGACACGAACTGGAGCTGTCATTTCGGCACAGCTGATGGTTCCGACTCAAGTGAATGGTTTTATTGCATGACCTAAGCACCGCATCAAGACCCAGCAGCAGTTGCGCTTCCCATCTTCGTGCGGTGTTGGATGCAAGCACAGACATGCAACCAGACATGCAACCAGACATGGGCAACGAGTGAACAACGTGCGGGACACGAACTGGAGCTGTCATTTCGGCACAGCTGATGATTCCGACTCATCACGAGGTGTTATTGCATGACCTAAGCACCGCATCAAGACCCAGCAGCAGTTGCGCTTCCCATCTTCGTGCGGTGTTGGATGCAAGCACAGACATGCAACCAGACATGCAACCAGACATGGGCAACGAGTGAACAACGTGTAGTACACGAACTGGAGCTGTCATTTCGGCACAGCTGATGATTCCGACTCATTTGAATGGTGTTATTGCATGACCTAAGCACCGCATCAAGACCCAGCAGCAGTTGCGCTTCCCATCTTCGTGCGGTGTTGGATGCAAGCACAGACATGCAACCAGACATGCAACCAGACATGGGCAACGAGTGAACAACGTGTAGTACACGAACTGGAGCTGTCATTTCGGCGCAGCTGATGATTCCGACTCAATTGAATGGTGTTATTGCATGACCTAAAGCACCGCATCAAGACCCAGCAGCAGTTGCGCTTCCCATCTTCGTGCGGTGTTGGATGCAAGCACAGACATGCAACCAGACATGCAACCAGACATGGGCAACGAGTGAACAACGTGTAGTACACGAACTGGAGCTGTCATTTCGGCACAGCTGATGATTCCGACTCATTGAATGGTGTTATTGCATGACCTAAGCACCGCATCAAGACCCAGCAGCAGTTGCGCTTCCCATCTTCGTGCGGTGTTGGATGCAAGCACAGACATGCAACCAGACATGCAACCAGACATGGGCAACGAGTGAACAACGTGTAGTACACGAACTGGAGCTGTCATTTCGGCACAGCTGATGATTCCGACTCATTTGAATGGTGTTATTGCATGACCTAAGCACCGCATCAAGACCCAGCAGCAGTTGCGCTTCCCATCTTCGTGCGGTGTTGGATGCAAGCACAGACATGCACCAGACATGCAACCAGACATGGGCAACGAGTGAACAACGTGTAGTACACGAACTGGAGCTGTCATTTCGGCACAGCTGATGATTCCGACTCATTGAATGGTGTTATTGCATGACCTAAGCACCGCATCAAGACCCAGCAGCAGTTGCGCTTCCCATCTTCGTGCGGTGTTGGATGCAAGCACAGACATGCAACCAGACATGCAACCAGACATGGGCAACGAGTGAACAACTGTGTAGTACACGAACTGGAGCTGTCATTTCGGCACAGATGATGATTCCGACTCAATTGAATGGTGTTATTGCATGACCTAAGCACCGCATCAAGACCCAGCAGCAGTTGCGCTTCCCATCTTCGTGCGGTGTTGGATGCAAGCACAGACATGCAACCAGACATGCAACCAGACATGGGCAACGAGGTGAACAACGTGTAGTACACGAATTGGAGCTGTCATTTCGGCACAGCTGATGATTCCGACTCAATTGAATGGTGTTATTGCATGACCTAAGCACCGCATCAAGACCCAGCAGCAGTTGCGCTTCCCATCTTCGTGCGGTGTTGGATGCAAGCACAGACATGCAACCAGACATGCAACCAGACATGGGCAACGAGTGAACAACGTGTAGTACACGAACTGGAGCTGTCATTTCGGCACAGCCGATGGTTCCGACTCAATTGAATGGTGTTATTGCATGACCTAAGCACCGCATCAAGACCCAGCAGCAGTTGCGCTTCCCATCTTTCGTGCGGTGTTGGATGCAAGCACAGACATGCAACCAGACATGCAACCAGACATGGGCAACGAGTGAACAACGGTGTAGTACACGAACTGGAGCTGTCATTTCGGCACAGCTGATGATTCCGACTCAATTGAATGGTGTTATTGCATGACCCTAAGCACCGCATCAAGACCCAGCAGCAGTTGCGCTTCCCATCTTCGTGCGGTGTTGGATGCAAGCACAGACATGCAACCAGACATGCAACCAGACATGGGCAACGAGTGAACAACGTGTAGTACACGAACTGGAGCTGTCATTTCGGCACAGCTGATGATTCCGACTCAATTGAATGGTGTTATTGCATGACCTAAGCACCGCATCAAGACCCAGCAGCAGTTGCGCTTCCCATCTTCGTGCGGTGTTGGATGCAAGCACAGACATGCAACCAGACATGCAACCAGACATGGGCAACGAGTGAACAACGTGTGTAGTACACGAACTGGAGCTGTCATTTCGGCGCAGCTGATGATTCCGACTCAATTGAATGGTGTTATTGCATGACCTAAGCACCGCATCAAGACCTAGCAGCAGTTGCGCTTCCCATCTTCGTGCGGTGTTGGATGCAAGCACAGACATGCAACCAGACATGCAACCAGACATGGGCAACGAGTGAACAACGTGTAGTACACGAACTGGAGCTGTCATTTCGGCACAGCTGATGATTCCGACTCAATTGAATGGTGTTATTGCATGACCTAAGCACCGCATCAAGACCCAGCAGCAGTTGCGCTTCCCATCTTCGTGCGGTGTTGGATGCAAGCACAGACATGCAACCAGACATGCAACCAGACATGGGCAACGAGTGAACAACGTGTAGTACACGAACTGGAGCTGTCATTTCGGCACAGCTGATGATTCCGACTCAATTGAATGGTGTTATTGCATGACCTAAGCACCGCATCAAGACCCAGCAGCAGTTGCGCTTCCCATCTTCGTGCGGTGTTGGATGCAAGCACAGACATGCAACCAGACATGCAACCAGACATGGGCAACGAGTGAACAACGTGTAGTACACGAACTGGAGCTGTCATTTCTGGCACAGCTGATGATTCCGACTCAATTGAATGGTGTTATTGCATGACCTAAGCACCGCATCAAGACCCAGCAGCAGTTGCGCTTCCCATCTTCGTGCGGTGTTGGATGCAAGCACAGACATGCAACCAGACATGCAACCAGACATGGGCAACGAGTGAACAACGTGTAGTACACGAACTGGAGCTGTCATTTCGGCACAGCTGATGATTCCGACTCAATTGAATGGTGTTATTGCATGACCTAAGCACCGCATCAAGACCCAGCAGCAGTTGCGCTTCCCATCTTCGTGCGGTGTTGGATGCAAGCACAGACATGCAAACCAGACATGCAACCAGACATGGGCAACGAGTGAACAACGTGTAGTACACGAACTGGAGCTGTCATTTCGGCACAGCTGATGATTCCGACTCAATTGAATGGTGTTATTGCATGACCTAAGCACCGCATCAAGACCCAGCAGCAGTTGCGCTTCCCATCTTCGTGCGGTGTTGATGCAAGCACAGACATGCAACCAGACATGCAACCAGACATGGGCAACGAGTGAACAACGTGTAGTACACGAACTGGAGCTGTCATTTCGGCACAGCTGATGATTCCGACTCAATTGAATGGTGTTATTGCATGACCTAAGCACCGCATCAAGACCCAGCAGCAGTTGCGCTTCCCATCTTCGTGCGGTGTTGGATGCAAGCACAGACATGCAACCAGACATGCAACCAGACATGGGCAACGAGTGAACAACGTGTGTAGTACACGAACTGGAGCTGTCATTTCGGCACAGCTGATGATTCCGACTCAATTGAATGGTGTTATTGCATGACCTAAGCACCGCATCAAGACCCAGCAGCAGTTGCGCTTCCCATCTTCGTGCGGTGTTGGATGCAAGCACAGACATGCAACCAGACATGCAACCAGACATGGGCAACGAGTGAACAACGTGTAGTACACGAACTGGAGCTGTCATTTCGGCACAGCTGATGATTCCGACTCAATTGAATGGTGTTATTGCATGACCTAAGCACCGCATCAAGACCCAGCAGCAGTTGCGCTTCCCATCTTCGTGTGGTGTTGGATGCAAGCACAGACATGCAACAGACATGCAACCAGACATGCACCAGACATGGGCAACGAGTGAACAACGTGTGTAGTACACGAACTGGAGCTGTCATTTCGGCACAGCTGATGATTCCGACTCAATTGAATGGTGTTATTGCATGACCTAAGCACCGCATCAAGACCCAGCAGCAGTTGCGCTTCCCATCTTCGTGCGGTGTTGATGCAAGCACAGACATGCAACCAGACATGCAACCAGACATGGGCAACGAGTGAACAACGTGTGTAGTACACGAACTGGAGCTGTCATTTCGGCACAGCTGATGATTCCGACTCAATTGAATGGTGTTATTGCATGACCTAAGCACCGCATCAAGACCCAGCAGCAGTTGCGCTTCCCATCTTCGTGCGGTGTTGGATGCAAGCACAGACATGCAACCAGACATGCAACCAGACATGGGCAACGAGTGAACAACGTGTAGTACACGAACTGGAGCTGTCATTTCGGCACAGCTGATGATTCCGACTCAATTGAATGGTGTTATTGCATGACCTAAGCACCGCATCAAGACCCAGCAGCAGTTGCGCTTCCCATCTTCGTGCGGTGTTGGATGCAAGCACAGACATGCAACCAGACATGCAACCAGACATGGGCAACGAGTGAACAACGTGTAGTACACGAACTGGAGCTGTCATTTCGGCACAGCTGATGATTCCGACTCAATTGAATGGTGTTATTGCATGACCTAAGCACCGCATCAAGAGCCAGCAGCAGTTGCGCTTCCCATCTTCGTGCGGTGTTGGATGCAAGCACAGACATGCAACCAGACATGCAACCAGACATGGGCAACGAGTGAACAACGTGTAGTACACGAACTGGAGCTGTCATTTCGGCACAGCTGATGATTCCGACTCAATTGAATGGTGTTATTGCATGACCTAAGCACCGCATCAAGACCCAGCAGCAGTTGCGCTTCCCATCTTCGTGCGGTGTTGGATGCAAGCACAGACATGCAACCAGACATGCAACCAGACATGGGCAACGAGTGAACAACGTGTAGTACACGAACTGGAGCTGTCATTTCGGCACAGCTGATGATTCCGACTCAATTGAATGGTGTTATTGCATGACCTAAGCACCGCATCAAGACCCAGCAGCAGTTGCGCTTCCCATCTTCGTGCGGTGTTGGATGCAAGCACAGACATGCAACCAGACATGCAACCAGACATGGGCAACGAGTGAACAACGTGTAGGACACGAACTGGAGCTGTCATTTCGGCACAGCTGATGATTCCGACTCAATTGAAGTGGTGTTATTGCATGACCTAAGCACCGCATCAAGACCCAGCAGCAGTTGCGCTTCCCATCTTCGTGCGGTGTTGGATGCAAGCAAACACACAGACATGCAACCAGACATGGGCAACGAGTGAACAACGTGTAGTACACGAACTGGAGCTGTCATTTCGGCACAGCTGATGATTCCGACTCAATTGAATGGTGTTATTGCATGACCTAAGCACCGCATCAAGACCCAGCAGCAGTTGCGCTTCCCATCTTCGTGCGGTGTTGGATGCAAGCACAGACATGCAACCAGACATGCAACCAGACATGGGCAACGAGTGAACAACGTGTAGTACACGAACTGGAGCTGTCATTTCGGCACAGCTGATGATTCCGACTCAATTGAATGGTGTTATTGCATGACCTAAGCACCGCATCAAGACCCAGCAGCAGTTGCGCTTCCCATCTTCGTGCGGTGTTGGATGCAAGCACAGACATGCAACCAGACATGCAACCAGACATGGGCAACGAGTGAACAACGTGTAGTACACGAACTGGAGCTGTCATTTCGGCACAGCTGATGATTCCGACTCAATTGAATGGTGTTATTGCATGACCTAAGCACCGCATCAAGACCCAGCAGCAGTTGCGCTTCCCATCTTCGTGCGGTGTTGGATGCAAGCACAGACATGCAACCAGACATGCAACCAGACATGGGCAACGAGTGAACAACGTGTAGTACACGAACTGGAGCTGTCATTTCGGCACAGCTGATGATTCCGACTCAATTGAATGGTGTTATTGCATGACCTAAGCACCGCATCAAGACCCAGCAGCAGTTGCGCTTCCCATCTTCGTGCGGTGTTGGATGCAAGCACAGACATGCAACCAGACATGCAACCAGACATGGGCAACGAGTGAACAACGGTAGTACACGAACTGGAGCTGTCATTTCGGCACAGCTGATGATTCCGACTCAATTGAATGGTGTTATTGCATGACCTAAGCACCGCATCAAGACCCAGCAGCAGTTGCGCTTCCCATCTTCGTGCGGTGTTGGATGCAAGCACAGACATGCAACCAGACATGCAACCAGACATGGGCAACGAGTGAACAACGTGTAGTACACGAACTGGAGCTGTCATTTCGGCACAGCCGATGGTTCCGACTCAATTGAATGGTGTTATGGCATGACCTAAGCACCGCATCAAGAGCCAGCAGCAGTTGCGCTTCCCATCTTCGTGCGGTGTTGGATGCAAGCACAGACATGCAACCAGACATGCAACCAGACATGGGCAACGAGTGAACAACGTGTAGTACACGAACTGGAGCTGTCATTTCGGCGCAGCTGATGATTCCGACTCATCAAGAGGTGTTATTGCATGACCTAAGCACCGCATCAAGACCCAGCAGCAGTTGCGCTTCCCATCTTCGTGCGGTGTTGGATGCAAGCACAGACATGCAACCAGACATGCAACCAGACATGGGCAACGAGTGAACAACGTGTGTAGTACACGAACTGGAGCTGTCATTTCGGCACAGCTGATGATTCCGACTCAATTGAATGGTGTTATTGCATGACCTAAGCACCGCATCAAGAGCCAGCAGCAGTTGCGCTTCCCATCTTCGTGCGGTGTTGGATGCAAGCACAGACATGCAACCAGACATGCAACCAGACATGGGCAACGAGTGAACAACGTGTAGTACACGAACTGGAGCTGTCATTTCGGCACAGCCGATGATTCCGACTCAATGAAGTGGTGTTATTGCATGACCTAAGCACCGCATCAAGACCCAGCAGCAGTTGCGCTTCCCATCTTCGTGCGGTGTTGGATGCAAGCACAGACATGCAACCAGACATGCAACCAGACATGGGCAACGAGTGAACAACGTGTAGTACACGAACTGGAGCTGTCATTTCGGCACAGCTGATGATTCCGACTCAATTGAATGGTGTTATTGCATGACCTAAGCACCGCATCAAGACCCAGCAGCAGTTGCGCTTCCCATCTTCGTGCGGTGTTGGATGCAAGCACAGACATGCAACCAGACATGCAACCAGACATGGGCAACGAGTGAACAACGTGTAGTACACGAACTGGAGCTGTCATTTCGGCACAGCTGATGATTCCGACTCAATTGAATGGTGTTATTGCATGACCTAAGCACCCGCATCAAGACCCAGCAACAGTTGCGCTTCCCATCTTCGTGCGGTGTTGGATGCAAGCACAGACATGCAACCAGACATGCAACCAGACATGGGCAACGAGTGAACAACGTGTAGTACACGAACTGGAGCTGTCATTTCGGCACAGCTGATGGTTCCGACTCATCAAGAGGTGTTATTGCATGACCTAAGCACCGCATCAAGACCCAGCAGCAGTTGCGCTTCCCATCTTCGTGCGGTGTTGGATGCAAGCACAGACATGCAACCAGACATGCAACCAGACATGGGCAACGAGTGAACAACGTGTAGTACACGAACTGGAGCTATCATTTCGGCACAGCTGATGATTCCGACTCAATTGAATGGTGTTATTGCATGACCTAAGCACCGCATCAAGACCCAGCAGCAGTTGCGCTTCCCATCTTCGTGCGGTGTTGGATGCAAGCACAGACATGCAACCAGACATGCAACCAGACATGGGCAACGAGTGAACAACGTGTAGTACACGAACTGGAGCTGTCATTTCGGCACAGCTGATGATTCCGACTCAATTGAATGGTGTTATTGCATGACCTAAGCACCGCATCAAGAGCCAGCAGCAGTTGCGCTTCCCATCTTCGTGCGGTGTTGGATGCAAGCACAGACATGCAACCAGACATGCAACCAGACATGGGCAACGAGTGAACAACGTGTAGGACACGAACTGGAGCTGTCATTTCGGCACAGATGATGATTCGACTCAATTGAATGGTGTTATTGCATGACCTAAGCACCGCATCAAGACCCAGCAGCAGTTGCGCTTCCCATCTTCGTGCGGTGTTGGATGCAAGCACAGACATGCAACCAGACATGCAACCAGACATGGGCAACGAGTGAACAACGTGTAGTACACGAACTGGAGCTGTCATTTCGGCACAGCTGATGATTCCGACTCAATTGAATGGTGTTATTGCATGACCTAAGCACCGCATCAAGACCCAGCAGCAGTTGCGCTTCCCATCTTCGTGCGGTGTTGGATGCAAGCACAGACATGCAACAAGATATGCAACCAGACATGGGCAACGAGTGAACAACGTGTGTGGTACACGAATTAGAGCTGTCATTTCGGCGCAGCTGATGATTCCGACTCAATTAAGTGGTGTTATTGCATGACCTAAGCACCGCATCAAGACCTAGCAGCAGTTGCGCTTCCCATCTTCGTGCGGTGTTGGATACAAGTACAGACATGCAACCAGATATGCAACCAGACATGGGCAACGAGTGAACAACGTGTAGTACACGAACTGGAGCTGTCATTTCGGCGCAGCTGATGATTCCGACTCAATTAAGAGGTGTTATTGCATGACCTAAGCACCGCATCAAGACCCAGCACAGTTGCGCTTCCCATCTTCGTGCGGTGTTGGATGCAGCACAGACATGCAACCAGACATGTAACCAGACATGGGCAACGAGTAAACGGCGTGTAGGACACGAACTGGAGCTATCATTTCGGCGCAGCTGATGATTCTGACTCAATTGAATGGTGTTATTGCATGATCTAAGCACCGCATCAAGACCCAGCAGCAGTTGCGCTTCCCATCTTCGTGCGGTGTTGGATGCAAGCACAGACATGCAACCAGACATGCAACCAGACATGGGCAACGAGTGAACAACGTGTAGTACACGAACTGGAGCTGTCATTTCGGCACAGCTGATGATTCCGACTCAATTGAATGGTGTTATTGCATGACCTAAGCACCGCATCAAGACCCAGCAGCAGTTGCGCTTCCCATCTTCGTGCGGTGTTGGATGCAAGCACAGACATGCAACCAGACATGCAACCAGACATGGGCAACGAGTGAACAACGTGTAGTACACGAACTGGAGCTGTCATTTCGGCACAGCTGATGATTCCGACTCAATTGAATGGTGTTATTGCATGACCTAAGCACTGCATCGAGAGCCAGCAGCAGGTGCGCTTCCCATCTTCGTGCGGTGTTGGATGCAAAAAAGCATGCAACCAGACATGCAACCAGACATGGGCAACGAGTGAACAACGTGTAGTACACGAACTGGAGCTGTCATTTCGGCACAGCTGATGATTCCGACTCAATTGAGTGGTGTTATTGCATGACCTAGGCGCCGCATTAGACCCAGCAGCAGTTGCGCTTCCCATCTTCGTGCGGTGTTGGATTTTTTGCAAGCACAGACATGCAACCAGACATGCAACCGACATGGGCAACGAGTGAACAACGTGTAGTACACGAACTGGAGCTGTCATTTCGGCACAGCTGATGATTCTGACTCAATTGAATGGTGTTATTGCATGACCTAAGCACCGCATCAAGACCAGCAGCAGATGCGCTTCCCATCTTCGTGCGGTGTTGGATGCAAGCACATACATGCAACCAGATATGCAACCAGACATGGGCAACGAGTGAACAACGTGTAGTACACGAACTGGAGCTGTCATTTCGGCACAGCTGATGATTCCGACTCAATTGAATGGTGTTATTGCATGACCTAAGCACCGCATCAAGACCCAGCAGCAGTTGCGCTTCCCATCTTCGTGCGGTGTTGGATGCAACACAGACATGCAACCAGACATGCAACCAGACATGGGCAACGAGTGAACAACGTGTAGTACACGAACTGGAGCTGTCATTTCGGCGCAGCTGATGATTCCGACTCAATTGAATGGTGTTATTGCATGACCTAAGCACCGCATCAAGACCCAGCAGCAGTTAGGCTTCCCATCTTCGTGCGGTGTTGGATGCAAGCACAGACATGCAAACCAGACATGCAAACGGGCAGACATGGGCAACGAGTGAGACGTAACGTGGTTGGGACACGTGAACTGGAGCTGTCATTTCTTGACACAGATGATGATTCTGACTCATTTGCCTGTGTGTTATTGCCAGGATGACCCTAAGCACCGCATCAAGACCCAGCAGCAGTTGCGCTTTCCATCTTCGTGCGGTGTTGGATGCAAGCACAGACATGTAACCAGACGTGCAACCAGACATGGGCAACGAGTGAACAACGTGTAGTAAACGAACTGGAGCTGTCATTTCGGCCCAGATGATGATTCCGACTCATTTGTACTGGTGTTATTGCATGACCTAAGCACCGCATCAAGAGCCAGCAGCAGTTGCGCTTCCCATCTTTCGTGCGGTGTTGAATGCAAGCATAGACATTCAACCAGACATGCAACCAGACACGGGCAACGAGTGAACAACGTGTAGGACACGAACTGGAGCTGTCATTTCCGGCACACATGATGACGTCCCGACCATCAAGGAGGGCAAGTTATTGCATGATCCACCACCGCATCAAGACCCAGCAGAAGAAGCCCCATCTCGTGCGGTGCTGATGCAAGCTCAGACATGCAACTAGACATGCAACCAGACATGGGCAACGAGTGAACAACATGTTGGACACGAACTGAGCCATCATTTCCGGCGCAGCTGATGATTCCGACTCAATTAAATGGTGTTATTGCATGACCTAAGCACCGCATCAAGACCTTAGCAGCAGTTGCGCTTCCCATCTTTTTGGGTGCTTGATGCAAGCACAGTAGACATGCAAAACCATGTCCAGATGCAACCAGACATGGGCAACGAGTGAACAACGTAGTACACGAACTGGAGCTGTCATTTCGGCACAGCTGTTTTCGAGAGTATGCAGATTCCACTCAATTGAATGGTGTTATTGTATGACCCACGCACCGCATCCAGGATCCAACAACCCAGTTGCGCTTCCCATCTTCGTGCGGTTTGGATGCAAGCCACAGACATGCAACCAGACATGCAACCTGACATGGGCAACGAGTGAACAACGTGTAGGACACATAACTGGAGCTGTTATTTCGGCGCAGCTGATGAGTTGGGACTCGAATTGAAGTGGTGTTATTGCATGACCTACGCACCGCATCAAGACCCTAGCAGTTGCGCTTCCATCTTTACGTGGCGGTATTTGGATGCAAGCGAAGACATGCAACCAGACATGCAATCAGACACTTGGGCAACGAGTGAACAACGTGAGGGTAGTACACGAACTGGAGCTGTTATTTCCGGGGCGCAGCTGATGATTTTGACTCATCAAGAGGTGTTATTGCATGACCTAAGCACCGCATCAGATCCAGTACAACAGTTGCGCTTCCCATCTTCGTGCGCGGTGTATTGGATGCAAGCCACAGACATAGGCAACCAGACATGCAACCAGACATGGGCAACGAGTGAACAACGTGTAGTACACGAATTGGAGCTGTCATTTCGGCACAGCAGATGGTTCCGACTCAATGAAAGGTGTTATTGCATGACCTAAGCACCGCATCAAGACCCAGCAGCAGTTGCGCTTCCCATCTTCGTGCGGTGTTGGATGCAAGCACAGACATGCAACCAGATATGCAACCAGACATGGGCAACGAGTGAACAACGTGTAGTACACGAACTGGAGCTGTCATTTCGGCGCAGCTGATGATTCCGACTCATTTGAATGGTGTTATTGCATGACCTAAGCACCGCATCAAGACCCAGCAGCAGTTGCGCTTCCCATCTTCGTGCGGTGTTGGATGCAAGCATGCAACCAGACATGCAACCAGACATGGGCAACGAGTGAACAACGTGTAGTACACGAACTGGAGCTGTCATTTCGGCACAGCTGATGATTCTGACTCATTTGAATGGTGTTATTGCATGACCTAAGCACCGCATCAAGACCCAGCAGCAGTTGCGCTTCCCATCTTCGTGCGGTGTTGGATGCAAGCACAGACATGCAACCAGACATGCAACCAGACATGGGCAACGAGTGAACAACGTGTAGGACACGAACTGGAGCTGTCATTTCGGCACAGCTGATGATTCCGACTCATTGAATGGTGTTATTGCATGACCTAAGCACCGCATCAAGACCCAGCAGCAGTTGCGCTTCCCATCTTCGTGCGGTGTTGGATGCAAGCACAGACATGCAACCAGACATGGGCAACGAGTGAACAACGTGTAGTACACGACTTGGAGCTGTCATTTCGGCACAGCCGATGGTTCCGACTCAATTGAATGGTGTTATTGCGTGACCTAAGCACCGCATCAAGACCCAGCAGCAGTTGCGCTTCCCATCTTCGTGCGGTGTTGGATGCAAGCACAGACATGCAACCAGACATGCAACCAGACATGGGCAACGAGTGAACAACGTGTAGTACACGAACTGGAGCTGTCATTTCGGCACAGCTGATGATTCCGACTCAATTGAATGGTGTTATTGCATGACCTAAGCACCGCATCAAGAGCCAGCAGCAGTTGCGCTTCCCATCTTCGTGCGGTGTTGGATGCAAGCACAGACATGCAACCAGACATGCAACCAGACATGGGCAACGAGTGAACAACGTGTAGTACACGAACTGGAGCTGTCATTTCGGCACAGATGATGATTCCGACTCATTTGAATGGTGTTATTGCATGACCTAAGCACCGCATCAAGACCCAGCAACAGTTGGCTTCCCATCTTCGTGCGGTGTTGGAGGCAAGCTCAGACATGCAACCAGACATGCAACCAGACATGGGCAACGAGTGAACAACGTGCGGTACACGAACTGGAGCTATCATTTCGGCACAGCTGATGATTCCGACTCAATTGAATGGTGTTATTGCATGACCTAAGCACCGCATCAAGACCCAGCAGCAGTTGCGCTTCCCATCTTCGTGCGGTGTTGGATGCAAGCACAGACATGCAACCAGACATGCAACCAGACATGGGCAACGAGTGAACAACGTGTAGTACACGAACTGGAGCTGTCATTTCGGCACAGCTGATGATTCCGACTCATTGAATGGTGTTATTGCATGACCTAAGCACCGCATCAAGACCCAGCAGCAGTTGCGCTTCCCATCTTCGTGCGGTGTTGGATGCAAGCGACATGCCAGACATGCAA